CCGAGGACAGGATACTGTACATCGACGAACACAAACACAAACGATCCTTTCAGTACATTCCTATATAAGTACTTTGTAGTTTGAGAAGTACTTTTGTTTAAAGTAAAAATTTAAAGTAAAATTAACTTTACTTTATTTACCCAAAGTTCTATTTAACAAAGAAAGGAGTTACACAGAGACGTCCTGTCCATGTTGTATGTTATGTACAAATGTAACTATGAAATATTTTAAATTTTTTTTTCTTTTGTTAGAATTTTATTTTAGACAGAGGTCATTTTTATTTCACATAAACTGCTACCACAATGGGAAAAAAATTAAATGAACTGTGTCGGCGTGTATAATATTCACATTTCCGATATTTCTACTGTCCCTTAAATGCAGCGTTAGACTCCGCCCATAGCGGAAGAGGCTGCAGTTACGGATGGCGTAGAAGTGTGTAAACGAGGAGACTAACTTCAATAAGAAGGGACATCAACCACTAGGTAAGCACGGAATTATGGGAAAAATAAATAAGGTAATGTAAAATGTTAAAGCTGGGTACAGTTTAAGTAGGTCACATTTTTTAAATTAATTTTAGATTGCCGTAAAAGCAATGCAAAAATAAATAACTAAATATTTCAGGATCTAACGTTTCTTAAACGAACATTTAGTCCGTGAATGAAGAAGGACATGTGTTTATGTTAGCACTTTAACCAGACTTTCGATCAACAACAAAAACAGTTAATTATTAACATTGACCAATGTTCAAACAGAGTGTCTTTAAATGCTCAACAGGTTTTAACAACAAAGTTCAAACGAAGTTTCTAAAGGTTCCCAAAGTGTGGGGCAGGCCCCGTGAGAGGGCACAGAGCAATTGTAGTGGGGACCTAGCCGGGCAAATGAATATCAGTTTTATTGTTTTTGTTTTCTTTATCTTTATTGTTTAGTTAAGTTTAAAAGCAGTGTTAGATAATAGCCCCATCTAGAGGACACTGCGGAAAAAAATCTTAGCTTTTTTAGCTTTTTTTTTTTTTTACATAATTCTTTCTTTTTAGTGACAATTTTGACATATAGAACACAGGGAGAACCTTTAAGCAAAGATGCAACAAACAGAGTTAATTTGAGTTATTTTTGTTTTTTTGTCCCTGCTTTGTCCTAGACTTGAGCTCAAATAATAATCACAGCCATGTTGGAGCCCCAGGCTGATCGGATCATGGCACTCTCAGAATGGGAGGGACGCTGGACGCAGGGCAGGACCGCTTTCCATAAGACTACAGTACACGAGTAAAATAATTTTTTTTAAAAAATGTTAAAAAAGTTATGTCACATTTCTCTTGTCACTATATGTGTTGCCTGTAATATAATGCAAAGTATAAAATTGCACTTGTTTTTGTCGGTAATGTGACGTTTCTGCGGTGACAGGATGCTGGAGAGAAACATAGAGAAAGTCGTAGCTGGACGCACGGGAGTTCGCTTCTTCTTTCCTCTCTGTGGAAAAGCCGTAGATATGAAGTGGTAAAAAAAAAAAAAAATCATATCTTGTTTCCAAATTGCAAAACTAAAATCACGTGCTTTAAAGCCACTCCTTTTCCCTGTGTAAACATCAGGTTAGCTGACCAGGGACATTCAGTGGTTGGAGTAGAGATAAGTGAAAAGGCTATCAAAGAGTTCTTCCAGGAGAGTGAGTTGACCTACAGTGAGGAGTCTGTTCCTGCTATACCTGGAGCAAAGGTGTACAAGGTACATGAAGACTGTAAAAAATAAAAAACTTTCAATGGGTGTCTGTGTGTTTATCATCTAACACCATAAACCCCAGTGGACAGTTTCAGCACCAAGGAAAGCAGCATTATATTTAATTAGGAATATCAGCCATTAATTATAGAACTAACATGAATATTTCTGAATTCAAAATATTAATTAGGACGTCCTTTAAATATGCTGTGATCAGTAACTCTACAACATGATGTTTCTTTGTCTGAACTTCACTGACAAAACTGTTCCTAAACATTTTTCTCTCAACAGAACCTGGAGAAGAATATTTCCCTGTATCAGTGTGACCTGTTCTCTTTCTCCAGGTGTGTAAACAAACTTCAGTTGTTAATGATTAAATTCAATAAAATTCATAATTTATTTTTTTTATGTCAAAGCTCTGTGGGGGGGCAGTTTGGAGCAATTTGGGACCGAGGATCTCTGGTGGCCATCAACCCAAGAGACAGAGAAAAGTAAGTATATAAGTATATAAATAAGTAAATTTATAAATGTAATTTAAAAAAAACCAAAAACCTTTTTTATTTTGTGTTTCCACCACAGATATTCTTGTCTGATACTTTCTCTGATGGCCAAAGACTGCAGATACCTTTTGTCCACTCTGTTGTACAATCCTGAATTATATAAAGGTACATTTTCACATACATTACAAACAAAGTAAAGTAAATGTAAAGTTTTGGTCCGACTTTGCCCAGGAATTCCCAAAGAGGAAACTACATTTAAATTTAAACTCATTTAAAAGTAAATATTCATATATATTTATTTCTTTTCTCATCAAACGTGTATTTGTGGATGGTATTTGCAGGTCCACCTTTTCTTGTGCCTAATGAGCAGCTGCACAGCCTGTTTGGTGAGTCTCTATCCACTGATTTTCTGTACAAACATTTTTACAATAGTGACACACAGTGTTTTTCTTTTGATTCTGAAAGGTGTGATGTTTTGATTCATACTAGAAATATTGACATGTTTGCATTCCTTCAGGAGGCAGCTGTGATATTGAGCTGCTGCAGTCAGAAGAGTATCAAGAAGAAAAATATCGAAGCTGGAGGGTGGACTCTCTGTCTGAAAACGTTCACCTCATCACTTTTAAACGTAGTTAAACCCTGGTCCAGTAGGTTAAGGGTCAGATAAGCTCAGCTCGGGTCATAGCTACATTTATACATAACCTACAGTATGGACAATAACTCCTTTCTTTCTGAAATAAAACTTTGATGCAATTGAATTTTAAAATACTTCTCAGCTTTAAGTCCTTTCTTAAAATGTTCTTGGCCTTTTTGGACACGCAACAACTTGTCCTGGGAAGTGCTTGAAAAAATGCTTAAATTTCACCCAAATGTTAACATATCATTCTACCTTTAATGAGTAGTTTAAATTATTGTACATGATTTATTGGTGTAGTGTAATATGATACAAATTGAATAACGTTATTCATTTATTTTTTAATTATTTTACAGTTTGGGTTTTTTCTATTTTGATTTTATTACAATGCACCAATATATCAATGCACCAATATATCAATATATATATATATATACGTATATTATATATTATTATTATATATTCACCTGGAAAAGCATGTTTAATGTGTCATTTGCAATGCTGGACGCACGAGGGCGCAAGAATCACAAAAACCAACAACCCCACTTCACAGTGTGGGTGTCACCTCCAGCTGTTATATTTCTGCAGCAGCCCATTAAATGTGCACATCGACCCAGGTAGTTAAAGATGCAGGTATGATGTGGAACAGTCCGCCTCATCAACACTGCTTATAAGGTAGGCTGTACAGTGAAAACGGCTCTGCTATTTTAAAACCAGGCCGCAGTTAAAGGTCATTCTGGGTCTCACTGTACGCACCCTGTGAAGCAGAGTGAATGTGCTGCCAAAATCAAGGAGTTTTTTTAAATTATTATTTCTCAGCTTGCGCCAAACTGCTATTTTCTCTCAGAGAATGAATGTCCTGTCAGTTATTCTGACAGTAATAATCTCAGCCCCATTTTGCAGAATTCAAAGTGATATTAACGGATGTGATTGAAATAACGCAGAGTGCAATGTTTTTACACTTTAACTAAATTATTTATAGTTAAATAATAATATAATCATAATAAAAATCCGGTAAACAATTTTTATCCATAATATAGCATGGATAGCTAACAAGAGCTAAACTGGCTAACCATGTTACTAGAATTTGAGCGCAAAACTTTAAAGAGAAAGAAAAAACAAATTAAATTTACCAAAATAAATTACGCAAAACCTGATACACGTACGTTTAGAAGTAAAAAATAAAAAAATAAAAAACAAGACAATTGTCACTGCGGTGTGTAAAAAAAGCGCTCCGACTGCGCTACGCCCAGATGTTTATGCTTTTTGCATAACGTGCAAATTAAACGACGTCATAGAATCTTTCAGCCAATGAGAGACGTACAAGGGGCGGGTCCTTAAAACAAATAAGAAATCACAAGCCAGGATATCGCTGGGAAGCTTGGAACGTAACATAAAACTTAATGATGTACAGATACGGCTAACACTGAGCTTGTCATTTAGCCAAACTGGATCTAAATGATAGCAAAAAAAGTTAGCCAAAATGGCTAAAATGCTGTTCTCAGTGAGTAAACATACAGATAAATAATATCTAGACAAGAGTAGTTAATTCGCTCAAATACGCTTATATTCCTTGATGTGTCACATTAATATATTTCCCCTAAAAGACATGATCACCCTCTTCTTCCAAAGTACACGTTTTTAGGAGCGTTAGTTGGAAACTGACGCTCCTGTGCGTAAAAAGCGCTCCAGTTGATTTTCATCCAGATGTGTGTTTTTGTACACGGTGAGTACGGCGGCGTCACGGAGCCCACGGGCCAATCAGAGGCGAGCAGGGGCGGGTCCGGGACGTGCGGACTGTTGTGGATGTGGAAAATGGACAATTTAACGCACGGCGTTCATCATCATCATCACTATCATCATCGTCCTCGCGCCGTGGAGGAGCAGAGTCCGCGTCCGCGTCCGGAACCTGATGTGGTTGTTTTTAAAATGTCCAGCAGTCGTGGAATGAAGAGGACATTCACCATCTGAGAGGAGAAGCAGAAGGAGCGGAGAGAAGGAAGGAGGAAGGAGAGCGTGCATGGTTACCGTCACCCGGTAAGGTCGAGCTCTCAGTGGGGGGAAGAGTTCCGAGCGCAGCCTCTGGTGGTCGTTTCTGGGGTTGGTGTTGTGGTGTTATGTGAGTCTGTGATTCTGTCTGTGTCTGTGGACACGGAACAATGGTTTCCACATCTGGGAATCCAGCTCGGATTATAACGTCTGGATCCAGATTGACATTTATTCTCTTCATCTGGATCAGATCTTCTGCTCCACAGGCAGTGATCTCCTCCTCCTCTTCCTCTTGTCTACTCTTCATTGTCCGCCGTGATTCACATGTTGCGTCTACTCCTCATTGTCCGCCGTGATTCACATGTTGCGAATGTTGCCTTGAAGGGAGTGGACTGTTTTCACTGTTTACGATGATCGCTGTGGTTGAATGGTGCTGAGATCTGTGTAATCCACGGAGAACCAGTGGCTCTGTAATTCCACGGGATTACTTACTGAATTGTGCTGTTTCTATTTGACAGAGGCGGCGTGGTTTTATGACAGGGGTTCTCAAATGGGGGTACGAGGACCCCTTGGGATACCCGAGGTTCTTATAAATGGTGATTTCTTTTTGCATGTATATTTATTAGCACGAAATATAATACAAAAATATGAATTTTTATTAATATCTCTAGTAATTTTTTTTTAGAAATTTTATCTTTATTTTAGAATAATCTAAGAATATAGAGAGTACTTGAAACTTTTTTGAAGATTTTTTTAAAATATATTAATTCACTCATTTGTTATTTTTATATACACATTTTTTTAGTTATTTTTTAAATCCATTGATGTCTTTTTTCCTGTGTTATAGTTTGTTTTGCAGTTACAAATCAGACCCTATTGCAGAGGGTTGACTGTCTTTTATTTTAAATCATGCTTTAATTTTAATGTTTTTCACTGGCATCTTAGTTAACAAAAGTCTGAGAACCTGTGGTTTCAGTAACCTGTTCTAACAGCCTGGTCTGATAATAACGTGGGCTCTGAATCAATTTAGTCTAAATTCATGACTAAAAAAGGCTGCATCCCTTACAGCCTGTCCCTTCATCACACATCACCAAAGCAGTAGTCCACATAAAGATTTGGCCCAGTTTTAACGCTGGATGCCTGAAGCGGCCCACCCTGGTATTTGAGACGGGGGCGGGGGGAGTGAAATCAGACCAAAACCCGTGTGCATGGCAGAGGGGTTCCTAGCAATGTGAAAATGAAGCAGAGCCACTCCTCCGTCATCTTCCAGTCCTCACTTCTTCTAGGACTAAATTTAGATCAGGGAAAACCAGGGAGGCTGGTTTTGTTTTGCATGCTCTGGATTCGCCAAAAACGGGAGCTCAGTTGTGCGCCAACAGTGCTAATACAGCTCCAGGGGAACTGGAACTGGAACTGGAGAGAGTGGGGAGCCTGACGCTCCCAGGAACTGGGTGAACCTGCCACTGACACCTGTC